ACGTGGGATAATCACGTCAGTGATATTAATGACGCGCGTTGTACATGACATATTACCAATGAGACTGTCACTTCCCTTCCTGCGAGTATTATTAACTTGTTGGGCGTTTATATTAGCGGTGTAATTAAACATTCGAGCCGAGTTATTGCGATCTGTCACAGATAATTCGCAGCGGGTAAGTACGAGCAGAAAAAAATTAAATAACGCGTAACACGGTTTCCCAACGAGCTTTCTTCTAGAGTTTCGCAAATGTGCATTAACAGGCAGACTAAATCTCTTCATATATACAACTGTCGTAAATATAACGTGCGTTATTTTTACCGTGTCAGATTTTTAGATGTCCGGATCCGCGATTTAATTTAGGAAAGTTATTTCATCTTTACAGAAAAATTTTCCAACAATTTTTCTTTCTTTTCTTTTAATTCTCTCGATCTCCACATATGCTATTTCCTACGCAGACGCCAATAAAACGACCGTGTATGACGGCTGGTTATGAGAAAAATTGGCGGATGGTTACGTTCGCCGATATATACGTATGTCTGCGCCTGGACAATGGTTGACCACACGGTCAACTCGGGAAGAAAGGAAGATACGTAAATAAATAATGCGGGAGGTTATTTCATGGCGATGTACAACGCGCGCTGCTTATAGACTGCTTTCCAACTGCCGTGAAACTGCACAAGACGTTTCTATATATAGTGCTTTCGCGCTACCGATGCTTCGTATATCCCTGTTTAGCCGCGCGGATCCGCAGTTCTTTTATTCTCCCGACAGTTAAGCGCAATAACTCCTGGTTACAAATAGATCGTTGTGCGCGTATTAAAAATTCCATCTCAATAAATATGAGACACCTTTAATAAAGAATATAATACATCTCGTACACTATGATTGATACGTAATCCAGACAAATTGATCATCCCTTCGAATTTTTGGATCAGCCATTGATGGCAAGAAACTTGAAAGCATTAAGACGTGTGCAATACGTCCTCGTAGAAAGTATAAGCGCGGCGCCAAGGCGGTTTATAATGTTTATCTCATAATACGTCGTCTTTCATCGTATTTCTTCGTGTAAAATGGCGTGGCCGTTAGTCTTTCACGGCGGCACATTAGCACCCTCCGTGCCGCGCTCCTATAACGGATGAACAGCCATGCCAACCTGAAGAAACGCCAGACGATGATGCTCACCTATGCTATTAACTTTTGGCTTTATACCACGTTCCACGTCTCGCTCATACTTTACATTTACAACGTAACTACGTATAGAGTGCCGTCTATAATCTCCCCAGAAGTGGGATATCAATTCCAATAGATTTAAATCTTTGGCGACCATCCCCCAGGTTTCTCTACCTTCCAACATCGTTCCCGATCTTATGCCTCTCGTAGATAATGTCATTTCTTCCCGTCCTGATGATCTACGCGGAATAAGTTTGCCGTACGAGAAGTCGTTCATGGGAAGAAGGAGTAAGCAAGACGTACGAGCTGCCGCTTCGAAGCGGCAGAACTAAAAGAGTGACTTTTAGAATACTCGGTTAGAAAGTTCCTCAGTTAAGGATTTGCTGCGCACGACTCGATACGTTTGATACGGAAAAACTATCCGCCATTTGATTCTATTTCCTTAGATACACGTGATTCACGTTCAGCAGGATAAATCGCGAGCGAATTTATCCTGCTAAACCATTTAAAAAAAGAAGAGGAAAAAGTTTTGCCTAAAAATATATAGAAAATGTCTCACCAGAACAAAAAAATATTTGCCATCGACTTTGACATAATTTTTCATTGGCCGAACGTATTGGCCGCCCTTTTAGCTGAGTCAAAGTACAGCAGTCCTCTGTGACGTGGACCGTTAGTTCGCAATGGCGATCAGTGACCTTTCCGAAGCAAGGCGGGTCGGAGATCGTTTCGGAAGGGATCTACAGAGGGACTGGTTAAACGGCATAACGTGCCGCCCTTTAAGGGCGCTTCCACAGGAATGCGACGCCCGGGCTGACGACGTGACACGCATCGACGAAGCGCGATGCGCGGTGCATGCTAATGCTGGAAATCTGAAACGTCAACTAGAGCAACGCTGCTGCAACGACGACGCGGAACGCCTACCGGGATTTCGTGGAGATTCAATTCGGTCCTGTACACCAACGCGGTCCGCGTTCGTGACGATTTGCGCCGGACGAGAGCACTATCTAGAGTATCTATAGCAGAACAAGGAACATTCGCATTGTGTCCCGCTGCCATTTACCATCAGACGTGATTAGAACTGCATAACAGAGATGCAAAATTCCTTTTCATAATGTTATATCTTTAATGATTTATAATAATATCATTATCAAAATTATTTAAATCTCAAATTGATCCATTAGCGCAAAAAAAATTAACCACTTACTCCTGTTTAATTAATTTTAACTTTATTTATATATTACATTAAAAATGATGATTACGATCTTTCGTACAATAAAACATTTTTTATTATTCGCGTTCAAATTTAACTATAAAAGGAGCTATGTTAAGCTAAAAACACGAGATATATTAAATTAATTAAATATGAAAAGAGGTTTTGTGTCTCTCTTTTTAAAAACTAATAAGTTTTCCACTACCACACAGCATCGAAGATGCCATTGGAAAGATTATTGCAAAAAATGAAACACGAAACAATAAGTAGAGAAACCGAAGGGGAAGGTGGACAGCTTTGAGTAATCGTCAGAGCAGCATATTGGCAGTTGTCCCGCGTCGCTTATAACATACTAATCGTTGAAATACGTGCAAATATTTATTTTTCAGCTGTCAGGAGCATGCCACTTCGCCTGGCTTGCCCCGCGACTCCGAAGGCAAGGCGGGCCAGCCTACCTACCTATAAGGGCTTCCGAGAAATACGACTCTTGGATGCATTCGAGCCGATGCCGCGATGTGTGCACATCGCGCACTCTCGTGCTGTTACCGCACAGCCTTTATTTATGTTTCTCTCTGCACAGTTGCGCGCACGCGTTCAGCAAAGCAAATCAAAATGTTTTCTCGAGTCTCGGACTCCTTCTCCGCTTTCTCTCGCAGCTGAATTGGTACAATACCGCAGTCCGTTATTAATCGAGAGACCGTGTGTGTGTGTGACTGTTCATTTTGTTTGTTTCAATCTGTCATATTCGTGTGTGTGTGTGTGTGTGTGTGTGTGTGTGTGTGTGTTATGTGTATGTGTAGAAAGAATCTTAATGGAAGCTATTCAATTATGCATACATAAATGAGAATTGCACGTGTCAGAAATGCGCGCGACAGGATAAATTTCATCAAGATTTAACACGTTTACCACTTTATTAGTATAAAATGTTTTATTTGCGTGATAATGAAATATATTTAAGATACTTTTTTGCGATTTATTAATACATATAAATGACTTAATTTACAAGTGCATAAATACGATTCATTAAATTGAAAGTTATCGATATTTTATGATAATTATTCTAGCTGCTATATGTACAAACTCTTCTCTCTGATCTCTTATTATACTAATATAAACAAAGTCACGTTGCTTTCTGTGCGCTATGTTAAATATCGTTATTTCGTATCCGTCGTAATGCGTGGGTTGTTTAGCTAAATTTCGAACGCGAAATCGCGAAAATTCGCGTTCACCGGCGACTGGTGCCTCACAGAATCGAATTATGAGGAACTGCGGCAGTCGGCGCTTTCCCTGGATGCGAATTTCACTTCCGGGAGAGGTACAATAAAACAAAGATATTTGACGGACCGGAGCGAGAGATAGGGGCGAAGAGCACGAGCGGTAGGATCGCAGTTTCCTCGTCGGTACCACACGGGGACGCATTCTGGTGTGCAAGAGCAACGGAGGTAGTAGGGCGGGAGGAGACAGGAGAGGTTGGAAAGGCTATGAAATTACGGGTAGGTAAATGAAACTATTCCAGAGTCCCGCGTGCATGCAGCTGCCGCTGTGCCGCTACGTCGGTACCAGTCCAACCTGACCCAACAGTGCGGAAAGGACTTTTATTTTTATTTGCCTTCCGCTTTATTTTCGCTTTAATTTCTCCCTTTTCGTCGCGGCGCTTGCTAATGGAGGGAGAAGGGATGCCAGCGCGAAGGATGGGGAAAGGGACACGCACCAAGTGGATGGAGAATCGCCGGAGCCGTACCTTTCCCTTTCCTCCGAACCCTGTAGGGCTCGATTCTCCGGCAAAACTGCAATTCTTCTTTCGATGCCGATAAAATTAATTATCTTGTCCGCCTCCATTTCGTTCCGCCACCCATCGTTCTTCGTCGCGATGCACTTAGTTATGTAACATAAATTCTTATCTCTAGTTGCAGGAATTTGAAGATGGACGTGGCCGTTTAATCTTTGTAATATAATATAACTCGTATTTTTAGCTCAACTAGTTTCCATTGTCATATGTGGTCATCGTCAAACAACGCGCATTTATTCGCGTATTACATCTTCAATATCTCCTCGCAGTTATCCATTTAACGATAAATGTCATGCATTTATCGGGCAAATTTAAGCGACAATATTCCACTGACGGATCAAATTTTTATGTAGAGGAATACGCGATTTAATGTAAGATGAAAAAGCGCAAGTATATCTCGACAAAGAGGGAAAATTTCGAATATCGAGATACTACACGGCGCAAAACGTCCGTGTTTGGCGAATGGCAACCCACGATTTCCACTTACTTCCTCGGGAACTTCGAATGAAGGATAGAGTTGGCATCATATCATCTTCCGTCTGTACCGATTGTCCTTTGCCGCGGTGACTTCTTTGCATACCACCTTCGTTTCCCCGCGACTTTCTCGCGCTGTAGAAAGTAGATATCCACGGAAACAGCGTCAAGGCGGCGGCGCGTGCAACACCCTCCCTCAACTCTCGCTCATGCTCTCGTTCTCGCAGCCACCCTCTTTCTCTCCCTCTATCTTGGGGTGGCATTGCACTCCCCCTTTTCCCGACACCCCTTTTGGACCCAACGGCTCTGCCATGACCCGCTCGTGCCGTCAGTCGAGTCCAGAGGACTCCGCGATTCGCACTTCGACCTTGGCGAGTTTTCCTACCAACGGAACGTCGCCGATTCTTACGCAATCTTTCGGTTATTGTCCTTTCACTTTTACAACAATTCGCGGTCGCTTTTCTCGGAGAATATACGATTCGTAACGTAAAAGCAATGATTAACACATCGTAGAAAATTTTATTAGTTGTAACTTTGCTACCGTTGTATGTGACAGACTTGCTAAGTATACACGTGCGGTAATCTTGACAAATTATTTTAAGAAAAGAAATTCTACAAACGTCGTTTTCGTACAGTCAGTCCGATGAGTGTGAAAGGTATACCACGAATATCGGAGTTATTAATACCCGACAATCCTGCGTATCGCACATAGCACATACTTAAGTGATTTGCGCAAAGACGGAAAGAAGCGTCTCACAGAGCTGCATCTCTTAAGGTAATCTGATATTGAGTAAACAGCGTATGCGTAAAGTGCACCGTTCGAGCGCCATATTGACAGGCGAACACGTGAGATCTCTTCCACTTCCCCGTCTCCATCGCAAAGCACTTCGGAGGGTGCCATCGGAGCACTTTGGCTCACAGGTTTCGCATAAGCAAACCAGAATAACCTATCGCGGCGTCAAACCTGAACTGTACGCATTTAGCCGTAGTGAGGTCAACTTGAAGAAATACATCTGATAAAATCCCGACAAAGTTGTCCGCCGCAGGCAACAGATATAGGTACAGCAAACACGCAGCACTTATGACATCTCCAAAAATGCCAATTAAATTTAATTGCTCTTGTAAATTTCCTGTTACTTCGAGACTTCGCATGTTCTGCGACTTCAAATGTGCCAGACTATATTTTTGAATTATTGGAGTTCCAGTTAACTCGTTGGCAAGTTCTAGTCAACAAATAGTCGCTGTAAAATAATCGCTGTAAACGGCGACTGCAACCAAGATAAAACTTGGTTACTCTGTTGGACAACTGTTGGCACATGATTCGAGCTGTGGCCTTGAAGAATTGCGCGACGTGGAACTTAAAGTTCTGTTAAAGTGTAAAAGTTTTGCGAAACTGTACAAGAGTTGCTGAGAATTGGACAGACATATACACGTCAAACGTGAGTCGTTCGAAGGGAAATGACCTGTGACGTATGCGTGCTCTTAAAATGGCAATGACGTTCGTTCGTTTAGTTTCATGAAGAAAGTGGCAGTGTTGGTTTTCTTCGTTTGAATCAACTTGCTTAAATATTTTATGAGAAGAGACTTTATTCCAATTATACATCATATATTATATAATATTCTGACTTTTGACAAATTATATTTCTTCATATAATAAATTTATGACGTTCCTTAACTTAAACAATGATTTCGAGCAAGGAGGATTGAGAACTATGCAAAAATTTCAAGGTAAGATTTGCTAAAAATAATTGATAATATGTAATAATTCCATGTCTAACGATAAGTCAAAATCAATTTAATCAATGCAATATTATTATACTGCATCAATTCTACAATATGATAATACACATGATTCAATTTTCGCTTTATTGTTTCAAATTTATAAAAACTATTACTATCCATTTTGGTATCACATGTATTTGATATGTAACCTATCTAGAGGATAATTTTTTTTCATTATAATTTTTACTACATTTAGATAATGTGTCATAATTTATTTAAATATATACATACGCTTGCAAAATACTTTTGTTATTAATAAAAAATAATAAGTAGTTATTTTAAGTACTTTAAAAACAGCTCGTTTTTAATAAATTATTATTATTATAAATCCAAATAACATACGTTCTCTTATGTGAAAAGTTAAGTGGATTATAATGCAATGAGAGATATGATATCTTTCTCAGCGTAGGGTTTAGTAGTTTCAATAGAAGATGTCAATGTTGTATGGATAAGCTAAAGGGACTTTACATCGGTCTCAATGGCCGTGTCGTGCCAGTGGTAACGGGAATTTGCTTTGCTGCGGACTCACGCGATTAAATCAACCGCTGAACGTGAAACGTTATGCAGTCTGGCCATGACGTCGGCTTCTACTCTTTGGTCCTGGTGAATTACGTCGCTCGTTTTCGTATACAGACTCGCACATCTCGCGTTTGCGTGCTATTTTACGGGACGCATATGCCGGAGTACACCGTGTCACATAATATTGCCTCAATAACGGGCGGCAGGAGGGATGATCTGTGACGCCCGAGGGTTTATTACATCCTAACCGACCGATATTGGTCACTGGTCGATCGCGTAGCATCCAAAGGGAGCAACCGAACGGAGCGGGGAAGGCAGACGGATAATGTTGCGGCGAAAAGCTAAAAAGAGAGGGACGTATACGCGAGCCTTCGTACGGTTATTTTACCGCCGGGTTTTGGCTCGTACTCGGGGTAACACGCGTTCTAGTTTATGGTGAGCCATCTCGATAACCGACCGTTTCATTGTGTGGCTGTCCAACCTTTCAATCGAATAGAGTTAGTTGCCTAACATTCTCTCGCTCTCTTTGTCCCCGTCGCATACAATAAATGTTTTTCGTGATCGAAGCGATGAAAATTATCCGCTGCTTGTCACGTCATTGTAATAGTGATGTTGCCCGAATTATTGTTAAAGTATCGATTAATTTTATTATCAGTTATTTAATTATGACGTCAATTAAATTATGTCAATTACATAGCGTTAAAAATTATATTTCGTGTAAATATTTTTTCATAAAGATATTTTTGCTTTATTGAGAGAACCATATTGGAGAGATCATTGAAATTAATATTCAGTGCTCAAATTATTAAATTAGATAAAAAATACATTATACTACTGCATAAATTAGTATTAAATGATACAGATGATGTATAATAGATAATACATATATGTACATATAATGAAATCTGATTAATTATAAACGATTGTAGTATATGTATTGATAGGTCTTCATGAACGTTCGATGCGACATAACTTAATAGTCAAATGCTATGAAAAGAAAAATCAATTGATACCATCCTCTGAAGAATTTTGTGTTCATCAGGAATGACACAAGATAGAATTTGCAACTGTTGGATCGCTCGAGGATGGCAGATCGAATCCTCTCACGAAACGTCCCGTCCTTTTCCAATATCTAGGATTTCCGATAAAGCCGTCGAGAATTCGCTGGAAGCCGGCAGTGTACTCGACCAGTTCGACTTCCAAAAGTTCCGTCCCTGAAGTTCACTCTTTCGCGCTGAAGAGCTCAAAGAAGGTTGTAAGAATCTATGAAAGGTCAAAGCGACAAACTTACCTGTACGTAGATTTGAAAGAGAGTGAACGGATATTCAAGGCAAAAAATTAGCGTGCTGCTCCGGGAGGGATATTGCCGTTACGTCATTACAGTCGGGCTCCTAAATTGCTAATGAATAGTGTTGCGAGTGAAAGAAAACGAAAAAGATACATCTATACTATACATCCCCCAAAATACAGATGCTAAATCAGAATCTTCTATTTCTTTTATTATTATAATTTTTAAGATAAATTACGTATATACGTATGACCTCATGTTGCGCGTGCATTTGTTCATTTTTACACTTTAAACACATGCATTTGTATAATGAAATTTGATGAATAACTCAGGCTTTATTTTGTATGTGATCAAGATACGTGAAATTTTAAAAACCAGCCTTCTACAAACTTTATTTAAATTTCATACAGAGTCTCATAATACGAACGAGAGTCACTTTTATCCTTTTTGCAGCAATGGTGATTATTTTTTGAAGTGTATTTTTGAAGTTTTTATTGAGAACGGATATAAATGCAAGTTGCTCTTAATAATTCTTTTTGTCTCAATAATCTTCTTTTCTCAATACACTAACAATGCTGACTTTTTGAAGTATGAAATTTTTATTAAAGATGGATATATTTTCTATTATTCTGTTGTACATTTGCTGTAGAGAAATGGATTGAAGCAATGTTAATACAGTTCTAGTCGACTTATTTAAAAATCTAGTATAAAAGTTTTTATCTCAACCGCTGTAGCTGTATTGCAAGAAGGGGATCTGTGAGTAGTGACATATGACACATTCCATTTAAATCTGAAATACATATTAAATTTTATCATATTCTACCGACTTCAACGTCATTTTTCTAAAGATCTGCGCCATCAGACGTGTCTATTGAGCTATACGAATAACCGGCCGACATCGTTGCGTACATCATTCTAATCACAACAGCCGCGGTGCTTTATCGGCTGTTCGACGTTTTCCCGGGCCACTGATGAAAAATTTGAAGCGCTACATATACTAGCTATCTCACGCGCCGGTTATATTTCCCCGATATTGATTCCGTTCTCATATACACTCCATAAATAAGTTCCTCCGCCTTCCATATCTTAAGAACCGGGCGATAAATCTCTCTCCTCTTCTCTCTCTCTCTCTCTCTCTGGCGCACCAGTGCGCACAGAATCGCTATACTCGTTTTTTCGCGTCCGCTCGCATCTCTGGCTCTCCGCTTCTCCGAGCGGGTGAGCGAGCGAGCGAGCGAACGAGCTATCGCACGAGCTCGCTCGCGAACGCTCGATACGCGAAAGAGAGACTTTCCGCGGAGTCGTGCATCAGATAGCAGCACGTTTGGCTTCGGGTCTTTCGATCATCGAATTACCTGGTAACAACCGTAATTACCATAATCGCCCGAGACGTAGATGCCCGAGGTGCCAAAGCGATAAATCAGAGGCGTCGCGTCGCGTCATGCTCGGGTGCGAACCAAGAGACATTACGTTCCACATCCGCTTCTCGCTTCTCGAAAGGATCGTTAAAAACCTGTTGAGAACGACTTGAGCGGCGTATTGAATTTTAATTTCATAAACGTGCCACGCGCGCACGGGTGGACATTCTTTCTCTTAATTTATTTTATAAACTCGTTTAAAGTTTAATGATAAAGGCTACATATTGCTATATAACGTGATATTACTATAATGTAATTCTTAGTTAGTTAATTATTATTTAGTTCAAAATTGTTTGACAAGTTTTAAATATTCCCGTCGAACAATGAGCAGCAGCATATCAACGACGTCTTTGTTGCCATTGAGGAAAGAAATACGACAAATCGCTGATGCATGCGCTCTCAAGTGGAGATTGTATCCAGTCAGAGCTCCAATATCGGTTTATTGCATCGATTTCAACAATGTGACTATTGTTACGGATTTAGTCTGGATTTACGGAGAACGTTGTGCACTCTTACGAAAGGATTCATTAAATTCCATAACCCCCGATTATGTCTCATCAGCGTCTTTCCACGCTGCAGGTATTTCAGTCGGCGGGTGTCCGCCCATTATTATTTTGTCCCCGTTGCAACCTCTCGTCTCTCAAGATCTTTGACCTTGATCAGTATGCTGGACTATGTCGTCATTTACCGCCAGATTGGAGGCCGCGGGAGCATGCCTCTAACGATGCCGTAATTTCCGAGGGTTTTCCAATTCCGTTAATAAACCCCGCGACATGGCGAGCGAGATCACGATTTTTATCGAGACACGGCTCGATCCGATGATCAGCAGAGATTGCAAGGGTCGCTGAAAATTATCTCGGCGATCGGTCTCGGAAATTTTGTTTTTCGTCTGAAAATCAATCCCGCGAGAGCCTCTCAGCGCGGGTGTTTGACATCTTAGCCGGCCAGTAAACTATTTGGATGGAAAGCACCCGCGAGAAAGACCGTTGTATTCCCTCGCCGTTTTTACGTACGATCAATTATGGCGGATGTTAACAGAACTTGATCGTCGCTCGTAAACAACGCTTTAATGGCAGCGTGGTAATGGACGCACGCCGACTTGGTAGCTGACTTGCGCCCTGTAACGTGATCCGCGGATAATTCATGCTGACGGTATAAGTGACCGTCGCCGCGTTTAACGCGGGACGTTTATTACGGGACATTTCTGTCGGGCGCTCATTTTCTACGGACGGGAGATCCGTCTTCCCAACGAAACGTAAATCATCGTTACCCTGCAGGAACGCATTCCGAAACGTAAACGTCAAAGCACGCCTCCCATCGCTGTTACTCGCGTAAAAATCGTGAGCGTTTTTGACGGACGCGGACTCTGCAAGATAAGATTTTTCAAAACCTCGAATTCTTGAAAATTATTGCTTTGTATTATTCAACGTGAATTTTGACGCATAAATTATATCATCTAACAGATCCTCTATTTGATTCATTTTGATATCTGCACAGTAATATTTGAAGATATAATATTTATAAAGCAATCACATATTACCTTTCAAGATATAATTTATAAAGAGATACAATAAAACGCTTTACAAAATTTGTAACTTTTGACACTGCACAATATAGCTGCATAAAACTCCGATACGCTGATCAATAATTATCGAGAACTTGTACTATATAAAAAGTAAAAAGTAGAGTTTTTTCTCGATATATTATCATTTTTATGACAT